ACCTGGGTCCTAGCAGGTCCATGCCTACATCTGTCAGTCAGTCACAGAGAGAGGTTTGTAGCTCTCGTGCACTTGGCAATTTCCCTGTCCAGGCTGGAGCTTCTTGCTGAGGGGCCTAAGGGACTTCTACCTTGGGGACCTGGGGGAAAACCTTTAGATTTGCCCTTTGCCAGGTGGAAGGAGGCATTACAGAGGGCACGCTGTGTGACTAAGGGCAAGGAGAGCTGCTCAGCCTGGAATGGAAGAAGAAACAGTGTCCATCACCCCAAAAGTTCAGCTACAGCCAGTTCCAGGCACAGAGGCTCAGATTTTAAAGCCCAGAACAAAGCAAACCCCATGTAGTGTGGTTGCCTCAGGGCAACCCCTGCCCTCACAGGCCACCATGCTGTGGGTGTCTGTATACCATCCCTACAGGTATCTTGAATCTCTAGTGCTCGGATTCTAATCGTCCTGATGCTGTGAATCTTTAATACAGTTCCTCATGTTGTGGTGACCCTCAGCTGTACAATTATTTTCATAACTGTACTGTTGCTACTGTTATGAACCGTAATGTAAATATCTGTGTTTTCCAATGGTTTTAGATGATCCCTGTGAAAAGATGTTTGATGCCCAAAAAGGGATCATGACCCACTGTTCTAGTGGCTTCTTGTCCAGCTCCTTGGCACTGACGTCTATAGGTAGGCGTCCAACACTATTTGCTAAAGTGAACAGAGAAAATCCAGACAGGAACAGATGGAGGCCTTGGGGAAATCCCTGCACTCACCCCAATTTGGAAGCCACAGAGCAGTCGGTGGGAGAGTCCAGAATGGAGACTAGGGAACACATTCTGAATACTTAGCTCTACCTCCTAGATCCTCCACACTAGATCCTCCCCTTAGAATCTCACACTCACTTGGTTGTTAACAGGCTAGAAAACAACCTGGGTGCCATCTTTTAGGGACCATCATATTAATCCCCAGGCACTAATGTACAAAAAACAAAACAACAAAACAACAACAACAACAAAAACAGTAAATCTCAGGGCTCAGGGGACTTGGATTACAACAGTATCAACACATACACATTTTTCTTCATAACTTACAAATCAGGTTCTCATTCACTTCCTCCCGACAGCCTTTCAAGTAAAATTTGTTATCTAGTCCAGTTTTGTAGATGAGGAAATAAAGGGTCAGAGAAATGAAATGTCTTTTCCTAGAACATCTCACATGGTCAGGGTTTGAGCTGGGTTTTTTGTCTCTACTCCCTGTTTATCCACTAGGTCCTGTGATCTTTGGGTCTACCTCTGTCCTGCGCAACCTTTCCTGGGCCTTGGTTTTTCCAGCTATGGAATGGAAGCCACCTATTCTGTGCCTTTGATTATCAGTTTCAGCACACAAGACAATTGCATGGGGCGGGAGAGTCCTCAGGGCCCTTTTCTCTTTCAGCCACAAGCTGCTGTTTCTCAGGAGCCCTTCCAGTCCCTTCCTGTTCCAAACATGTATAGACGTTTCCCTTCCACTTTATTATCACCTCATTTGTAGAATTTTAAGGTTCGTTACCTGGGAGCTAGGAACTCACACCTCCAATACTGTTTTTCATATATTCCTTCATCACGTGTGAAAAAAGTCTTATTAACAGCATCTAACCTGTCACAGCTTCATCTGGGGTGCATCGAGATCAAGAAATGCTTACTGCACCAGGGCAAGGAAAACAGCATGGCTGGCTGCAATGGGGAGGCCTCTGGACTCCTGGGATTTGCTCTTGGCCTTTGAGGATCCTGGGGCTGTTATCATGGTCAGCAGACTTCCAGCCATGGTCAGAGCTGCCTTGAGCACTTGGCCACCTTCTCTGGGTCTGTAGCTCCTGCCTCTTCCCCTGCACCCCCAAACTCCTGCCTGAACAGCTCCAGTGCCTGCCCAGCTCCCCTACCTCCTGGACACTTGTCCAGGATTGATTGTCTGGGCAGCTCCCCCTCCGAGCAGTAAATGAAATATTGGTTACCGGGAGTGAGGCAGGAGCCAATTAACCCCTAGACCTCGACATGGCAGATGTGTTTGTAGGAAGCTGAAGTGGAGAGCCGGCTGCACCTGCCTGGCCTTCCTGCAAAGTCATCCAATTAGGGCAGCCCCCAGCAGTGGGCCCCACTGCCCCCTCTGGACCTAATAGCCTCAGAAACCAGGGTGACACCAGCACCTATGGCTGGCAGCTGCCTGGCTAGAGAATGGTCTGCCATTCCTGTGTGGGCGAACTCTGGGGTTACCTCCATCCTCACTTCCCTCCTGATAGGGACATTCTTTCTTAGTCAAGCATCTTTCTAAAGGGATGAGGGTAATCTGGGGGAGACTTTTGCTTCCATGTGGACTCACATTCTTTCTGTCCAGCTTTCTTCCATCTCCCAGCCAGCCCCACTCCTGGAATATCCCTGTACCTAAAAAGGCCTTGGCTGAGGAGGCCAAGGGGGAGACACTCCATCTGCTCTAAGAGAACTCTGAACTTCAAAGGAGACAATCTTGTTGTCAAGGATACTCCAGTTTATAAGTTGAAACTGTCCCCTCATCTCAGAAGGGCCTAGATAAAACAGAAAAGTAAACTTGTGCCTACCCACAGAACCACTATATTGAGGGATCAATTACTGTTTGAAACAGATATACAGCTCTCTATCAAGGAACTAGATGACAGTATGAAAAGAAAAATACAGACTTTGAGGTCCCATTAGTCTGATGGAGGAGACACAAGCCTTGCCTTCAGGAAACCTCCTGGTCTGGGTAGGGGAGACATAGCCCTTGTCCTCCCTCATCAGATGTCTCTCATCTGAAGGAGAAAACCGATTTTTGTCCTTAGAGAGCCATTGTTTGATGGGAAAGATGCCTTCTAGTTGAGTCCCTTGTAGCTGGGATGTTTGCCTAGATGTCAAGCAGCTGATGGTTGCAGGACATTCCTCAAGCCTTGCAGAGGTAGAAAAACACCTTGGCTATGGTCCAGTCCTAGGTGTGCCACAAACATCCTACCTAGCCATAGGCAAGTGATGAGTCTGGGAGTCCTCATCTGCAAGAATGGGGATTTCAGTTCCATCTCTCAAAATGATATGAGGATTATCAAGTCACCAGAAAGAAATGCAAAGCAGCCAGCTAGCCAAGCACTTGCTGTAGACACAATTAGAGGTCCTGGGATAGTCTTTATGTCCTCTAGGGTAGGGCTGAACCCCCTCCCTCCCAAGTATGGCCACTAGGTAATTCTGAGTTGGTGTGGCTATTAAAGAGCCAGAGGCAGCTGTGGGCATCACTGGGGGACAGGAGGAGCGCCTTCTAATCTAATCACACTTCCCATGGAGACTCTAGTTCCATCCAGAGCTGCCAGGGGTTTTATTGGGTTTGTGGGAACCTGCAGATTTCAATCTCCAGATCCCACAGGGAGGGCACGAGCATTAAACTAATTTTATTAAATGGCCACAGCTGGCAGCGGGGGGAAATAGGGGAGAGAAGGGAAGATAAAGAAAGCCATTCAAATCTGCCAGCCATGACAAGGGTCCATACATGGGGTCTGGCCAGGAGGGTGGTTACCCCTCCTTCCTGTCTCTCCAGCTGAGCCAGGCTGGCAAGCCAGATGGGACCTTTCCTCAATGTAGAGCCTTGGCATTTTCCAAAGTCCTAGCCTGTGGCTGCAGCCCATAGCAGATGTTTATTAATGCATCAGGCCTCTGTAGGGCTGGGGTAGGAGAAGGATGGGGCGGGGCTATCCCAACTTCAGCCTCGTTCTACTTTGAATATGCCAGTTCCTTATAAATGTAGAGCACTTGGTAAGGGCACTGTCCTTGGCTCAAACATTGGCATTTGCCTGTGGTTTGGCAAGCTTGCACAACCTCTCTGAACTTCAGTTTCTTTACCTAAAAATGGTATAATGCAGTGCATCTGTAATCCCACTGAGAAGCTGAAATGAGAGGAACACTTGAGCTCAGAAATGAGGACCAATCTGGGCAAGATGGTGAGTGAGACTCCATCTCCAAATAAATATATCAGTAAAATGCACAAAATGGGCCAGGCAGTGGTGGCACACACCTCTAATCCCAGTACTCAGGAAGCAGAGGCAGGCCTGTCTGTGAGTTCAAGGCCAGCCTGGTCTACAGAGTGAGTTCCAGGACAGCCAGGGCTACACAATGAAACTGTCCCAAATGACAAAAAATATGGGCATGGGGAGCACTTTCCATGAATCCATTTTGCACCTCACACCTAGCTGTGATGAAACATTTATAAAGTGCCTACACAAGTGTCTGACACATAGTGGGTATTTCCAAATATCAGCTATAATTATTTAGAAATGTCCTATGCACATGTTACAGCTTGCCAGTTACAAGACGGCGAAAGAGGCAGTGGCAGCCAGAGCCTCAGTGTAACTTGAACTCAGGTACAACCATAGAACTTAACAACCCCGCCACTTTTACCTCCGTGGAAGGAAACCTACCCATTCACCTAACTCCAACTTGGGTGAGAGAGTATTTGAAAGCATCCTGCAGACTTTAAGATGATGTATAAGCAGGAAGAGCTACGTGCTTTGAGCATGTACATTACACCTCTTTAATCTTCAGTCGAGGGAAGTGGGTCTTCTTTCTCACACTTTACTGATGAAAAAACAGCCTCAAAAGCAGTGGCTGGAACAAAGTCAACCAGCTTTTGGTGCAAAGCTCAGTCCTTTCTGTGGCTTTCACCAGCCGGAGAAGAACTTGCAGCACACGAGGCTTCATAGGAGCCTAGGCTCTCTGCTTAAAGCTTAAAAATGTGCCAGTACCTTGTTCCCAATGCAACCATGGTACTTTACCACCATGTAAGGTGTAACTGGATTGCTACCCACTCAAGCTGCCCACTTGGGCTGTGATGAGTATCAGACCTTTTGGTCGTTCTTATGGAGCAGCTATGGGGCCAGCATCTGCTTGTCCCCAGAATCTTTTACTATACTTCCCAGTCTAGAGGACAGGGTCCAGGGCACCTCCTACAGACTTCCCCTGGGCACAGACTGAAATCCCCACGGGGTGGAAATGTTTTTATTATAGCTTTGGTCAGACCAGTTGCAGCTGTTCCAGGGTTTTGTGGGTGCTGGGAAGTAATCCAGCCCCTAACCCGCTCCTCCCCCAGGCGGGGTCACCCCGCAGGAAGCAACTGCGCCAACTCCCCGCTCCCCCCAGACTGGGTCTGGCTGGCAGGAGGGGTGGGCAGTAAACAGTCCTATTGTACACATATACAGTACAGGCTGGGACCAGGAAGGCAACCTGCCACCCGGGCCGGAACTGCGTGCGGGGGTGGGGGTGGGGGTGTCTTTGCGCTCCATGGAATAAAGGCCTGGACTAGGTGGTGGAGGCAAGAGGCGATTCAGCCTAGGAGGGTCAGCGGCCTGGGCCAGGCAATTTGAAAATGAGTAGGGAATGGGTTCTTGTTTGCCTCTCCCGAGAATGGAGCCCTAGGGATAAAGAGCCACAGATGGAAAGGGGTGCAGGGGCTCAATCTGAGTAGATGATGAAGCCAGAGAAAGTGCTGTATTTGTTGCTGTTGCCACCATGCGCTTTGCCTCCATCCAGCTTGATGAAGACCTCATCGCCTGCGTCCAGGTGCAGGATCACGCTGTTGCTGGCATAGTCGTAGTTCTGGTCTGCATCCTGGGCAATGGCACTGGCCCGCACCTATGGGGGTAGGGGTGGGGGTGGAATAAGGATGGGGAATGGGGCAGTGTGAGAGGGGAAGGAGGTGAGGCAGCCATATGGTGAGGATTTGGAGGCCCTAAAGCCCAGCTTTCTGGCCATTCAGGCCCTTGGCCCACTTTTCCATCATCCCACCCTACCCCCTTTTAATCATGCATAACATTTTGGGAGCAGACATTGAGAAGCCCTGCATTCTTGGGCAGGGCAGCATATCTGGGCCCGAATTTGAAGTCCAGATGGAGTCTTCCTCTGTAACTCCTGCAGGTCTTACCATCTGCCTGCTGCCCACCTCAGTGCCTTCCAGGGTGGCCCCACTTGGAAGTCCTTTCCTTGCATAGAGGGCTGCCTTGTACTTCCTGAGATGGAAGAGATCTTCCCTCAGCCCTTAGCATTCATTCCTACCTCTGCTTCAACACCGAGGATGCCTTCATTTCTCTCACACCCACCTGCTCTTTTGTCAATGGATGGACAAAGAACACAGCTTAGCCAGAGGTGAGGCAGCTGGGGTAATACCAGATTGCTAGTAAGGAGCCGTCCCAGAAGAAGGGCTGGGCCTTTGGTCCTATCCAAAGCTCATTCCAGAGTCCCTCTCACTTTGGCACTGAGACTCAAGGCCTGGTAATTCCTTCCCCTCCTGGCCTTTGACTGAACTCACTGCCCAAGGCCTCTGGGAGGTATAGCTATATCCCTGTGACTATTACCCTGGCCAAAGGACTTCCAACTCATCCTAGGGTAACAGGATGGGAGGAAAGGAATTGGGGCCTTACATACTCTGTGGTCCTTGTCTTGAAGGGAGATGAGGATGAAGTGACAGCTCAAGGGAAGCATTAGCATTGGAGTTTGACAGTTGCTGTGACTTCTGGAGGCTTTGACTAGTTTTAAGGCATCAGGGGAGGGTGTTGGTAGTTGAGTTATCTGTGGACATTTCTGAGGCAACAAAAGGACTAAGCTGTAGGACCTAGGTTCTCCATAAAATAAAGGGTAAGGAACAGAAGACGAGGGCCTGGAGGGTCAGCTCAGTGGATTAAGACCACTGGCTAGTCTTCCAGAGGACATCAGGTTCGACTCCTAGCACCTTATGTGACAGCTGTAACACCAGCTCCAGGGGATCCTATGCTCTCTTCTGGCCGCTAAAGGCACCAGACATACATGTGATGCACAGATATACATGTAGGCAAATGCCATACACATAAAAAAGTAGATTTTAAAAATTAAAAAGAGAGATGGGGCTGGAGAGATGGCTGGAGGGTTAAGAGCACTTGCTGTTCTTGCAGAGGACCCAAGTTTAATTCCCAGCTCCCACATAATAGCTCACAACCATCTGTAACTCCAGTTACCCTCTTCTGGAAGGCACACATGGTATATAAATAAAAACGCATACATGAGTTAAAATAAGCATTTAAAAATTAGAGATAGAGAGGAGAAAAGCCATCCCCTTGGTTGTAGCTTGCAGTGGGAAGGGTTCTGAGGCAGGCTTTTCCACAGTTCCTCTCTAGCCCTCTCCTTCTCTGAAGGCAGCTCCTGCAGCCTCTTAACCCAAGACTAATGTCTAAGCTGAAGCCAACACACAGTTGGCAGTGGGGGTAATGGGGGAGGTAACTGTGGGTCATCCTTGCTAAAACAGCTGACTCAGTCAGTAGCAATTGCTATAACCAAGAGGACCCAACACATTTGAATGCAGCCCTCTCCAAAGTCAATGTCCTTCCAGCCCTTCATCTCTCCTTAACCTCTTCCCTATCCTGGGTTGGAACAATGTGGATTATAACTGGGAAAACATCTTTAAAGAGTGGGAGAAGAGGATGGTGAGATATCTCTGCAGGTAAAGGTGTTTACTGCCAAGCCTGATGATCTGAGTTCAGTCCCCAGGAACCCACATGGTAGGACAGAACTGACTCCTGTAATTTGTCCTCTGATCTCTACAACAAGCGCTATGTCCCCACCTCAATAAATACATTTAAGAAAATTTTAAAGGTGGGTCCAACAGTAGTGGCCCATGTCTTGTATCCCAGCACTTGGGAAGCAGAAGCAGGTAGATTTCTGTGAGTTCAAGGCCAGCCTGGTCTACACAGTGAATTCCAGGCCAGCCAAGGATACACAGAGAAACCCTGTTTCAAAAAAACAAAACAAAACAAAAGCAAAAAAACGGGGGGGGGGGTCAACATGGGAGAGACTGTGTTTATTCAAAGCCTCGGTTTCTCTGTCTAGAAAATTGGATGAGAAGTCCGTATCTCACTCTGCCACCTTTACAAAAGCCTGTAGGTGGTAAAGAAGAAGAAAGTCTTGGTAGGGCTTTAAACTAGCAGAGAAGAGCTGAAAGCAAGCAGCCAACTTCTGTATTGTTCCCTGGGCCCTAATCCTGGTAGTATTTATTACTACACGTGCACTTCATTATCTTTGGTAATAAATTACTACTAATAACAATTATTTTTATTACCCAGATTAATTTAGCCTTAACTCATTAAAACAGTGTGCTCTTTAATAGCCAAATCCATTAGAACACAGTCATCCGTCAACAGGAATCTCCTGGTGACGTGACAGGCATCAGAACTGTTCTGCTTATGTTTATTATTTATTCATCACCATGATTGTTGCTGTAATTATCCTAATTATCCATGGAAGCAGCAAGAATTTATGCCCTTCCATCCTTAGACAGTCGGAGATCCTGAAATGGAACCCAGGGGTCCCAATTCTCTACTCAAGACTGGAAGCCATTGAGGCATCCAGCTCCTCTCGGGAGCCCTAGGAAAGATGGGGGAATTGAGGTTGCCATGGAAGCCAGAAAGCAGCCTGTTCCTTGTCAGGAGGGACTGCCAAGGGGGAAACTGAGGCAGTTGTTTGACCAGAGAAACTGAGTTGCTAGGCTGTAGTCATGGAAAGGGCTCCTGTTCTCAGTCCATGCTGGGGTCTTGGTTATGTAGATGTGGCTCCCAGAAGTTGCCAGCCTGGTTCATAGAGTACTGTTAGCTCATAAATTTACTGGGTCCATTTTATGTGAGGTATGAGGCTCTGCTGCTTATGTACCAGAAGTTAGGGAGGACAGCTGGATCTCTTCCCACCCTCCAGGAGAGATGCTGATCCCCAGGAGCTTTTTTTTTTTTTTTCATGACACAGTCCTCAATTTATATATCTCTGCAGCCTTTGCCCTCCAAGCCCTCACCCACATGTATATAATACTCACTTCCCCATGTCGCCTCCCATGGACAAATAGCACTCTGACCGCTGGCATGTCCTCACACAGCCTCTACCTGTAGCCATATTTATCCATTTTGTGTCCACCCTGACCTGTCTGAACCACAGATATGGAAGTAGTTGTGTACACTCATCTGCCCCTAACCTAGAACCTTCCCTCAGGCTCCTCATCCTAAGCACTAGTACCAGGTGCCATCAGACTCCAGAGACTGATGCAAGACGAACCCTGTGGAGGGAGAGCAGTGAGTGGACCTTAGACAAGGGTCCTTAGGCACTAGGCATGCTGATGGCAAACTCCTTTCTCTACTCATCTTGCCCAGGGAAGGACCAAAGGCCAGAGTCGGCCTGCCTTCCCACAGGACTGGAAAGCTCTTTGCAAGCAGGAAACTGGGCATGTAACGCCCGCCCACGGTGGTCTCTCAGCCTGAAGGCAGGGAAAGCAGAAGCTCCTTTCCTCTTTTTCCGCCCATTGTGAAGCCCTGTCAGCATTTTCTCTGCTTAGTTAAATGGTCTCACCTACCTCTGAGCCAGGCTTCCTCTACATCTTTACCTCCCCCTTTAGTGGTGTCTCCTAACCTAGTGAACCCGGGTTCAACATCCTTTTTCTTCCTGCCAAGTGGTTCCAAGCTAGGGTAGGACTACGCACTGCATCTCTCTCTCAGACAACATGTTTGGAGACAGGAGTTGCCAGATACATTCCCAGCACACCTTTAATGCAGTACCCATTGAGTGTGTTACTGTATGATCACCACTACTGCCCCTGCTAGATAAGCCATAGAGCCCTAGAGGGCAAATGGGCTAAACCCTTGGTGCCAAACAAGCCTTGTTTCCTGAATGATTGTTGAGATTCAGTGAGCCTCTTGGACAATCTGGAAGAAGTTACAAAAGGGTACTGGGGTGGAGGCCACAGACTCCATTGATGTTCTTAATCATTCTTTTGTTTTTTGTTTGGGGGACGTCTGGAGTAACCCTAAAATAGCTGTCAGTGAGCCTCTGGAAGCTTGTGGTTCTCTCACCTTGCGAACTCTTGTTCGTGCTGTGCTAACACCCAGGCTCTGAGGGAGCGGGAAGAGGTTTGGGAAATGGTTTCAATTCCAAAAGACTAAGGCAAGTAGCCCCACTACAAGAACATACTGTCTCAGGAGCCTCCTCAGGCCCTGTTGCTGGGACCCCCTGTGGTGCGACAGGGTCTAAGGGCCTAGTAACCACACTTGGATCCCACCAAGCCCCCATCCCTAAACCTCAGCTTTGGGCCAGCTCAAACTTTCTTTGAGGAAGGCAGGAATGGCATCAATGAAGGTGACATTGCTGCATGCCTTACTGGTGATTAATAAGGGGACTTGTGGGGCTGTCTGCAGAATGAGCCTTTGCTGGATTCTGGAGCCTTCCCATTTGGTCAGGAACCGAGGACAAAGAGGAGAGACAGCAAAGCCTGATAGACACAAATGGGAGAGAGACCCAGCAATGGAGGCGGGGGCAGTTGGACCCAGAGGAGAGAGACAGAGATGAATGGCAGATTCTGCTAAGAAATGGTCAAGAGACAGAGAAAGAGGGGGAAACCTTAGAGGGGAGTGGGGGAAGCAGGCAGAAGAAAGGAAAGAGGACAGACTTCCATGCCGATAGGCTTTCTGCCCACTCTCCTATCCCCAAACTTTCAGACCCCAAAGCAGGGTAGTGCTGCAGTGGGAGGGGTTCCGAGAAGATCTGGAGTCTCAATCACAGGGGATTGATTCCTTCTCACCTCAATTCTGACCCTGGCCTCTGAGAAGAGAAGGTTCAGCCTGACCACGCCCCCCGGGGTGGGGCTCATGAAACCCAGAGGTGAGAGCACTGGGAACTGAGAATCCAGGGTGGGTGTTTCTAAGGAAAACACTGTGCGCCCGCTGTCCCTCCCTGTCTCAGACACAAGCACTCCAGGGAATGGAGAGGACTCTCTATCTTCTAGGATAGTGGAAGAGTTAGACCTGGAGACCTTAAGAAGGCGAGTTTCTATCACTGCCCCACCTCTGGAGGAAACTTTTCCCCGGAGGCGCTGGATAGCTCTGATACTCCGGGGAAAGGCTGAGCATTCCAGGGGATTTGCAAAGGGTATCAGACCAGCTCGGTGGTTCCTTCTCTAGAGCCAGGGACGTACTGCATGCAGCTAAGGTTATTGGGCGCCGGACTCCCTCTGCCTTTGTGCCCAAAACATCTCCTGCAGTCCTCCTTCTGCGCGCAGAGCCACTTGGCTTAGCGCCCTCCGGCATGAAGACTGCTTCTCCTTATCCGTGCCCTAGAGCACATTCTTGCTGTTCCCTTAAAGCCAGCCGGCGTCAGCTTGAATTTTAGCTCTCAAGTGAAATCAGCCTGAATCAGCCTCCCAAGGGCCAAACCCCCAAGGACCAGTCCGCGCGCCCTAGAGCCCTATGATCTGACTAGTTGGATTTAGCATCTGCCTTGGAGCTCGAACCCAAGGGCTGAAGAGTCAGGGGTGCCCACTAATTGCAACCATTCTTCACGTGATAGTTAAGGGGGGCCGCTTTAGGGTCTTCACCTACGCCTGTCTGGTGTGCCTGTCGACTCTGCATTCTCTTGGGGCTCCCTGGGTGCCCTGCCCCCAGGTCAGCCCCATGCCCCCTCGTGGCCCACCTGGCCGTTCTTGCAGAGGTCCGCCCACATACTGGTGCCGTCGCCGCCGCGCATAAGGACGTGGTAGGTGAAAAAGTAGGTGCCAGGAATGTTGCATGTAAACTTGCCGCTGGCCGCATCGTAGTTGTTGCCTAGGTTGGTGACCACGTCGTCAAACTTGAGCACCTCGTAACCCTCATGAGGGTTCTTGAGGCCGGCGTAGAAGGCCACGCGTGGCACCGTGGTATAGGTGGCCGTGCTGATGGCGCCGCTGCCTCCTGAACCGGGCAGGCCTGGAGGGCCAGGCTTGCCTGGTTCACCCTTCTCCCCGGGCGGTCCCACAGGACCGGGAGGACCCCGGTCCCCTGGAGGCCCGGGGGGTCCCGGCTTGCCGGTGCGGCCCGGCTTCCCCTGGGGGCCCTGCACCAGCGTGGAGGGCGGGGGCGCACCGCTCTGCTCGCTCAGAGCGTCGCCGCCGTCGGACCGCGCGCCGGCGCCGGGGCCCCGCGCGGGGTAGGGGTCGCACACCATGCGGCAGGTGCCCAGCATCTCATAGTGGCCATCCGGGCCGCCCGAGCTCACCAGCACCGGGATGAGCACCACCAGCACGAGCAGCATCACCACGCCCGCAGCAGCTGCCAGCAGCGTTTTCCGGCCGGCGCGGAGCCTGGGGAGAGCCGGGCCACCCGGCCGCGCCGTCGGGGCAATGGTGCCGGCGGGTAGGGGGCGCGGGCGCGATGCCCGCGCTCAAGGGCGGTCCGGCGGGGCTGCGGGCATGGGGCCGGGGCCCGGGCGCCGCGCTGCGCTGCTTGCGCTGCGGAGCCCAGCAGCCGGCTTCGGCCTCGTGCTTCCCTCCCGCTGCGCTGCCCAACTGAATGCCGCGACCGCCGCCTCCCGCCTTGCGCCTAGCTCCTCCCGCCTTCTCCGGCTGGGGCCACCGCCCCCTTCTTTGGGCCCCGCCCACCCGCTCCGCCGGGCTCGGAGAGGGCGAGGAGTGGGGATGCGGGCGGGACCGTCACCTAATTGGACCGCGGAGGTCGTGAGGCAGGAGGGGTAGAGAGGGGCGGGGTTTATAAGACTCCGGTGGGCGCCACAGAGGTAGCTGGAGACTGAGGCTCAGAAATGGGAGGGGGCGGCTAGAGCCAGATAAATAAGGAGGATCCCAGTGGGAAAGGAGGGGCAGGACCAAAGAGCGAACGGAAGGGAAAGGCAGAGAGCTCGGAATGGCATCGGGATAGAGGTCCCGGGAGTCAGTCCCGAGGAAAACCGTGACAGGGGCAAAGGAACACCACCTGCAGGAGGTTGAAGGATGAAACATTGCCCCTATCTGCAGGGGACAAAGAGATGTTGAAGTGGGGGTGTGCAAAGTGAGGAGCAAGAGGGCAGACCAAGAAAGAGGGACAGGGTGAAGGCCAAAGTCGGGAAGGAGGACTAGGGAGGGGTCATTCTGTAGGCCCCCCGGCCTAGCATCGAGATAACCCGTTTGAATGGATCCTTTGCTTTTAGAGTGCTCAAAGTGATCTCTGGATTTTAAAAGCAGCCACCTTGTCTTCTCTCTCTCTCTCTCTCTCTCTCTCTCTCTCTCTCTCTCTCTCTCTCTTTCACTGTTCAGGGACACCCTCTCCTAGGATGGCAGCGTCTTCAATCCCTTCTTTTCTACTGCCCCGGGGCTGTCTGCTAGGCTGCCTCTGCCTGGGGCCTCTTCTCCGTGGCTTCCTCTGTTCCTAGTTATTAGCTAGACAAGGGAAAAGTAAGGACCCTGAGAAGGCGAGGGACTCCCATGTTATCTCTTAATGATAGCCAGTCCTGGGTGGTGCTATTTTCTATCTGCCAAAAGAGAATGGGTTGAGCTCCTTTACCCCCTTAGGGGACTCCCTAACTCTTACACCCCCATCAGGTTGTATGAGGCTCTCTTCCTTGAGTGCAGTAAAGTGTTTAGGTTGCATAAACTGAAATGTGTCTGCTTCCATCAAAATATTTGTCATATTATTTGAGGCCCAGCTCAAGCTGCTGCACTCAGTGTTACTCCCTCACCCTCCTTTTTCTGAGGAGGACTGTGTCTTTCTGAGGCCTCTGGCCACGACAAACAATGACAGTCCAGCTCATTCTTTTTGGCTGCAAGGCTCCTCCCAGCTCACACTCCCACCACTGGCCTCCTACCTTCCACTTGATTCTGTGACTGACTATTCCTACCAAAGATTGAGACTAAGGGACACAGGAATAACCAATGGTAGGAGTGGGAGTGGGCGGGACAATGCCAGAGAGGGCCTTCCAAGTACTAACCCAGGTCAGGATGACTTGCATCATCAAGGAGGAGGGAGCTAAAGCAAACTGTGTTGGATGCTTTGTATGTATGAACACATTTAATCTTCACACCAATCTAGATATAAAGCCCACCATTATTCTCATTTTACAGATGGAGAACAGATGCCCTGCAAAGTTAAAAGATTTGCCCCAAGTCACGAAAGTAAGATATGGCAGAGGTAGGATTCCAGCCTGCAGCCTCGCTCCCAGTTGTTCCAACATCAACGCGACAGGGTCTCTAGGGACTAGTTATTGTCCAAAATGCAAGGTGATGCGAGCATGCCTTAGTGCCCCTACGCTTCTCCAGGCAGACACAGGCCGAGTAGCCCTGAGCTCTCAGCTGTAGGTGGCCTCCTGGTCCCTCGGGACAGTTTCTTAAGTGCAATTGCCTTTTTAGCGACCGGGCGGTGACCCGAGGGGTACGTACGCGGTCATAGGAGTATGGTTTGTCCAGACACCACCCCCACCCCCAGCCTTCAAGACACGCGCTCGAGCCCCTCGATCCTTAGACTACTGGCGTTCCTTAGTTGCCTGCAGCGGTGATTTAGCGGGCGGGGGAACCAAACCAACAGCCTGCGGCCGCTGGGGAGGGGGCGAAGGCGGCCACCTTCGCGCTCGCCAGGGAGTCCGAGAGGCGCGCTTGCCGCCGCACCGTGTTCCGCCCCCCGCCCCGAAAGCGCGCCCGCTCCCCTGGCGCGGTGTGGCGTCTCTGTCAGCCCAGCCGGATTCTCCCCGCTTCGCTGGAGTGGAAAATAACGGCTTCAAACTTTGCAGAAAGGAGCTAGTGCCAGCACTTTAATTAACAGCCATCTTGGCCTGTGAGCCTGAGCCACCGGCTCCTCCCCTGGACTCCTCCCCTAGGCTCTCCCGGCCCCGCCCAGGTTCCCATAGGAGACCATCCTTATCTCCTAAAGGTCTTCATCCCTTTATCAGAGAGCTCAGGACTGGATGGTTTGACAGGGTGCTGCATTAACGTTGTCTCCTATTTTAATTCATAACAAACTCCTCCAAGCTTTCTTCATTCTCAAAAGCCAGTTCCAAGATTCTGGTATTAAAGAACTAGGTGTCAATTTCACCTGTGATTTTAGATCAATGGCCTTGCCTCCATACCTCCAGAGTCCTTTGGAGAAAGGGTGGTTGTGGGGGATTAAATGAGATAAAATGTATCTAGAATGTCGACCCTTAGTTGCTAACATAATTGTGTCACCTCAAGCCTAAGAAAGTCCTCTTACCACCCACCCTTGGCTTAAATTGGCTGTGTGTTACATTGTCTTTTTTTTTTTTTTTTTTTTTTTTTTTTTAAAGACTGGGCTAGGAGAGGACAGAGGGTATGTTTCTAGATTTAGAGAGAGTGCACAGATCTTTTGATCTTTTCTTATATTGTTCTCTTTTTTGTTTGGTTTGGTTTTTTGAGACAGGGTTTCTCTGTGTAGCCCTGACACATCCTGGAACTAGCTTTGTAGACCAGGCTGGTCATGAACTCAGAGATTCACCTGCCTCTGTCTCTCAAATACTGAGATTAAAGGAGTATGCCACCACTGCCAGGTTCCAGTCTAGAGTCTTAGGTGTTCAGGAAGGCTCTGAAGTGAAGCCTCTGTCAAGAGGGCAGGCAGTACCCTGCTTCTACTGAAATTCTGTGGTTGTTTGGGGGGGGGATCTGGCTTTGAATTCCCTCTTCTGAGTGAGGACTCATCCATATAGGCCCCTCCATTTTCGTGGTGGGGGCAGGTTCTCCATGCTGGAGTGAATTGCTCAGAGACGGCCCAGGTAAAGGAGTACAAGGCTTCTAACTTATGTATGGCTGCATTTAGAAATGAGTAGCTGTCCCTTGGTGTCTGGAAGTGTTCTGAATGAATGTGAGTGGGTGTGAATGTGTGAGCAACAGTGTTAGCCATGTCTAGGATGTGAATGACAAAGGGGGAGTTGCACTTTGACTCAGCAGCTGGCAAGGCTGCGTTCGTTGGGTTGTTTTTGCCTTCACTGAGACTCCTAGTTGGGTACCACAAGATAGCAGTGGTGCTCTGGCCCACGAAAAGAGCTCAGTGGAAACACTGTTTGGCAGGAGATATGGACAGAAAGAAATTACAAATGCTAAGGTAATAAATAGTATTGTACCCAATGTGGGTTTTTATCCACTTACTAAATGCCACACCATTTCAAACACTTTATATGCATTTCCTTCTTTAAAATTAACAGTTGATTATCTTAGACTTAAAGTTGTTATGTGTCTTTTAAAACTTACTGTGTTGTATGTTTGAGTATTTTGCCTGCATGTATGTCTGTGTACCACTTATGTACCCGGTGCCTGTGAAGTCTGAAAGAGGGCATCAGATTCTTTGGAAAAAGAGTTATAGATGGCTGTGAGCCGCCACCATATAGGTGCTGGGAATTGAACCCAGGTCCTCTGGAAGAGCAGCCACACTCTGAAATGCTGAACTATCTCTCTAGCCCCTAAAGTTACTATGTCTATATTTACTTATTTTTAGATATATTTTTTTCTATATAGCACTAGCTGTCCTAGAATTTGATATGTAGACCAGACTGGCCTTGAATTCATAGAGATCAACATCCTCTGTCTCCTAAGTGCTAAGATTAAAGACATGTGCCACCATGCGCAGTTAGCTTGTCTCCACAATACAAACCTCAAGGTAGATACTGTTATTTGCCCCATTTTATGGCTAAGGAGTCCAGGTTTGGGGTAGAGGTTCATACTAAGTGTTATGGAGCATAAATGATGCACAGATGAAGACTGGCGAGCCCACAGGACTCTAGGGAGGTATTACAAAGGAAGCATCATTCTTTTTGCACCTGTCTATTCATGCATCTTTCTTTCATCCACTCTGTAACACAATTTTAACTGACTAGGGGTCCAATTTATTACCATGGGACATAATGATGAGCAAGAAAAGGCTTCTGACCTCATGTAGTTTACAGTGCATTACTGGACTCTGGACTATTGAACAAGCGGGGGCTATTAAGCCTGACAGGCATGCTGCTTGGGAATGGGTGAGGGTGTATGACATCCATACAGGAGCCTTCTGGAGGCTGGAAAGAAGGGACATCTCCTGATCCAGGCGTTATTTAAATCAAGCCCTGACAAAGGGAGACAGTGAGGAGAGGGGCTGGCTGTCACAGGGGTTGGGGAGGGGGGATCAGAGAGTTGTATAGCTAGAGAGAACAGCATGTATTAAGGACTAAGCTTGTGGGGCCCTGTGGGCTGTGACAAAGTTTACAATTTATCCCAAGGCAATTAAAAACTACTTTGTGAAGGATGTTGAATAAGAAATATGATCAGAATTTTTGCATGCGAATGATTACTCTGGTTCCTGTGGGGAAGAAAGATTAAAATAGAATATTTGTGGAGGAGGCTAGGAGACAGTTGTGGGTCAGGTAAGACTTGATAGTGGCCTAGACTGGGCAGGCAAAAGTTATGTTAGCGACTGATGAGAGGGTCCCTAAAAGGATAGGGAGGGGGA